CTCCGGGCCTCCCGGCCTCCCGGCCACGCTTGCCGGGCTTAAGCGCGCACCACTCGAGGAGGTGCACGCCGGAGCGGGGAGGAGACCGGCCCCAGGGCTGGAGGAAGACTGACCCAGTATCCCCATCAGGGCAGGTGCACTGCGGCGGAGAATACCCTGGGCCTGCGACTCACCCGAGAGTCCTCCTTAGTTGCCGGCTCTGGGACTGGACAGAGCCGCCGCCCAGCCTTCCAATGCACTGGGCGGAGTGGGCGCCGGGATGGGCGGGTCCGGCCTGGAGGGGAGGCCGCTGCGCCGCAGCCCCAGACGCGGGCAAGGAGCCAACTCCTCCACAGGTCCAATGGGGCGCTGCACCTCGGGCTTGGTGGGATGCAGGCCGGAGAGGGGAAAAGGAAGACTTTGCCTCGCTCGCAGCGCCTTCGGGCCCGGACCAGTGCCAAAAGTGTTCAAAGCTAGCAGCTCCTGACTGAGACGGTGCCTGTTCTCTTACTCCTCCCTTCCACCCGTCCGCGTGCGCTCGGAGCTCCGGAATCCACGTTGGGGGTATGGGGTGTGCGTCGGAGATGCCTCTGCAGTGGGGGTCACTCTATAATTCATTCAACAAACATCCACTAGCAGGACAGGGCCTAAGAGTCATCCGTGGCACCTCCCTCTCTCTCACCGCCCACATTAAAAGACACCTCCACTTCCTGTCGCCTCTCTTTTCTAGGTACCTTTCCAGTCCACCATTTCTCTCCATTTCCTATCTGGTTTACCTGTACTCACTCCGGCCCTGCTACACTACATTTCCACACAGCAGTCAGTCGTCATTTCAAAATGCAAGTCTGCCGTGCCACCCCCTGCTTAAATCCCTCCATTGTTAGAATAAAATCCAGGCCATGACAGCTGAGCTGACTCCTGAAGAAATGAGCTCAAGGAGCAGAGAAGAGGGGGAAGGGCATGTGCAAAGGGATGGAGGTGTGAGAAGCCACGACACAGTCAGGTTTCCCTGTCAGGGGACAGTGCTCTGTTTGCACACCTCAAGCCCTGCCTCTCCTGTTCTATTATTAGTATCTCCAAACAACCCTGTGAGGTAAATACAGCAAGCAGCTTTTCCACGATTTTACAAGCGTGGAAACTAGTTTGTGGGAGGAACAAGTGTGGCGGTTAAGAGCATAAGCATTGGAATGAGACCCTCTTGGACTGTGGACCCACCACTGCATCCAGCCAGCTGTGTAAACATTTAACTTCTCTGATCCTATCAAAGAGGAACAATTAATCTTTACTTCTTATGAGGTGATTCAGATAAAATGTTTACTACAGCTCTGGTAGCATAGTGGCTAAGGCACTTGACTGCTAACCAGAAGGCTGCTGGTTCAAACCCACCAGCCACTCCTCGGAAGGAAGGTTGGGCATTCCTATTTCCATAGTGATACTGCCTCGGAAACCCAAGGAGGGGTCGCTATGAGTCGGGGTCGACTCGATGGCAAACAACAACAACAGGACTTGGGCACTGTCTTAGTTATCTACCAAACTCACTGCCATTGAGTTGATTCTGACTCATGGCGACCCTTCTGTGGGTTTCCGAGGTGGTAAATCTTTACGGAAGTAGATTGCCCAGTCTTCCTTCCACAGAGTGGCTGGTGGGTTGGAACTTCCAACCTTCTGGTTAGCAATCAAATGCCCTAGGCTCTACGCCACCAGAGCACCTGTCTTACTTACCTAGTGCTACTTTAACAGAAACACTACAAGTGGATGGTTTTAACAAACAGAAATTTATTCTCTCAGAGTTTAGGAGGCGAAAAGTCAAATTCAGAGTCCCGGCCTTCTAGGGGAAAGCTTTCTCTCTGTGTAAGCTCCAGAGGACAGCCCTTGTCCCTTGTCCCCTTTCTGTGGGCCTGGCATTCCATGTGTCTTGGCATCCATCTTCCCCTGAGTCTAGGAGGTTCTCAGCACAGGGACCCTGGGTCCGAAGGATGCACTCTACTCCCAGCTCTTCTTTCTTGGGGGTAACCAGGTCTCTCTTTCTCGGATCACATCTCTCTTCTTTTATCTAAGACAAAAGGTGATGCAGGAAAACTCTCTACATCACATCAGGGCTGTGATCTAAGTAAGGGTGTTGCAACCCACCCTCAATTCACTCACTGCCATGGAATCGACTCTGACTCATAGTGACCCCCATTGGGTTTCTAAGACTGTAAATTTCACAGAAGCAGACTGCCTCATCTTTCTTCCATGGAGCACCTGGAAGGTTCGAACCATGAACTTTTGGTTAGCAGCAAAATGCCTTAACCACTACACCACCACAGCATCCCCTTAAAACTGATTGGCTGATCACATTAGATTCTATCATGGAGATGATTACATCATCGCATAACCACCAAATTACATCATTACATAACTGCCAAACCACTGAGAATCATGGCTCAGCCAAGTGAACACATACTTTTGGGGGACACAATCCATGACAGCCTCTTTAGAGATGCTTAATAAACATCAGCCGTTTGGATTGTAGTTTGTTCTGAGAAAGGGAGGAAACTGCTCTGTACCACAAATTTCTGAAATTATGAAAAAGAACCTCCTGCTATTGAGTCATAACAAGTCTACAGGGTAGAGCAGAACTGCCCCATAGGGTTTCCAAGGCTGTAGATCTTTATGGGAACAGACTGCCTTATCTTTCTTCCACAGAGTGGCCGGTGAGTTCCTTTTGACCTTTTGCTTAGCAACTGAATGTTTTAACCACTGTACCACCAGAGCTCCTATTCTGAAATTACAGGAAAGCCCTAATAGTTAACAATTCTACAGGGCTTACAATGTGCCAAGCACTCTTATAAGTAATTGACACACATTAACTCTTTTAACCCTCTTAACTGTGAGGCAAGTACTATTACTATTTCCATTTTACAGACACAGAGAGGTGAAGGAGCTTTCCCAAGATTACACAGCTAGTAAGTGACGGGGCTGGAATGCTTCCAGGCACTGTGCATGTCACCATTCCTCCCAGCCTGTTCTCCTTTCCTCCTGCTGCAGTTTTCATCTTCCAAGACATGCTCTAGTAAGTTGAATTCTAATTCTTCACTAATGGATGGAGTAGACACTTGGTCCCATTTCCTAGCAGAAAGGACGAGGCCAAACAGGGCTTCAAACTGATTCAGCATGGCCCATGACGTGAAACTGGAATAGACCCAAATGTTTAAAATGTGGGTGAAGCACAGTAATAACAAGAATGGAAAAAAGTATAGGTCAAAGCCCTGGAAGGGGAGGCTTAGAAGAGGCGTCGTGAGCCCTTTTAGGAGCCCGATGAGGGTCCTGGGGTTATTGCCAGGACTATGGAGAGAGACTCGCATTCAAAGTGGCTCAGTCGGCTGCTATCTTTGAGCAGGGCACCATTGTTTCTGACTCTTCTGGTCAAGAGATTTGATTGCTATGTAACACGCATGTGGCTCTCATTTTCTAAGAGGAAGATTAAGTTTCTAGCAGGGTAATGACTTGTAATTTTTCCTGTTCCAGCTGTCATTCCAGTTCACCCACATTTTGCAAGCTCAGATCTGTTCCAGTTT